TGTCATAAAGATACTGTTCATTTGTTTCATCTTTCGCACTACAGTCTAAATTACTTGTTAAAAGTTCTTGCTTAATTCTTTGTATTTCTGTCTCAAAAGTATATGAAGAAGGAATGAAGCTTTTCATCTCTACTAACATAGATGTTGGATTCATAACTAAAGAGTTTGGTGAAGTTGTTGTTTGAAGTGTTGTAGAACCTATTGTTGAAATCATATCTTTACATACAAGATAAAAATTTTTCTTAGAAAAAAATTAGCGTTATTTTTCTTTCATAAGGAAATGTCAAAAATTCATGATTTTCGAGAGTTTTAGACCATGTTAGAAGAGTGATTAGAAAACGTGTTAGATCTAACATGCTAACATAAACATTATTTTTGGTGTAAATAAATGGTACCATTAATGATATCATGACTGTTCTCGTTCATGTCTGATTTACATCTAATGAAAAAGTTTAGAAGAATTTTCTTATTCTTTCTGGCTTATTTTTGTCTTTCCAGTACTCCCGCTCTAATGGTCCCAGATGTGTTGGCTTCGACTCTCTCAAGTTCTTAGATGGTATAACATCTTCAACGCCTCCTTCATATCTTACTTTATAAGTGTCATCGTTTGTGTTATAGCCAAGTATTTCAATAACCACTCCTCGCTTTGCTTCGTCAATGGTTTCAGCAAGTTTGCCATTACTACTTTCAACTAATTTATGACGAGGGTAAAATGCTATGGAGTCGTCAGCAGCTTTTATAAGATATCCATTACCTTGCGTAGAGTCTACGATATAATAATTTCGACTTAACCTTAAACGTTTCTTTGTCAACGGTTTGTCGTCAAGAACTACACGAACTTTTGTACCAGGAATGAGGGTAAATTGTGTTGAATTTCTGATATTTTGTGTTTGGCTTCGTTTCTTTTGTATATACTTTTCTTCTTGTTGTTGTGTCATTGAATTTGGTGTATGTCCTGTTGTAGAATGTGTTGAGGAATTATATACTTCGAGAAAGTGTTTCATTGTTTCTTCGGTAAAGTCTCGCTCTTGATTTAAATCTCTGAGAGTCCTTATGAAGCGGTTTATGATGCCGAGTATGTTATGGTTATGGTCTTCAGTAGTGTAGTGAGTTATGTTATGCTTAATGAGAAATCTGTGATTTCATTGCTGAGGTATGCACTGTCTTGGTCTGATGTTAAAGTACTTGGGCTATGTTCTGCTACAAACTTTTGTAAAACTCTTAACACTTCACGAGTTCCTTTATTTTTCATTATATACGCAAAAGCTTTGCGAGTGTTAACATTAATGAAGATGAGGAATGGTTTATGTCCTCCTTTTCTGCTTTGAATGAGAGTGTCAAATTGGTATGCGTCAGGAGTGTTGGAGTAAATTGGTAAAAAGTAGTCGTAAGGGTTTATTTTTGTTTGATGTACAACATTTTTGTCAAAGAACTTTTTCACTTCAGCTCTGTTAGTAAATCCCAACTTTTTGCTGCTTCATTGAACTTCTTAAATGACCTCCATGGATGTTGTTCGAATACTTCTTTCAAGCTCATTTATGTAAAGTTAAAGATTTTATTCTAGGCTCAAGCGCGTTCATTGAACGCGGTACCATGCGAATACAGTCACAAATGGTGGCATATAATCTGCACCCGAGCCTGTTGGATTTGTTGTGAAAGTGTGTGAATGATTACCTGTGGTTCCACAGAAAATACCTGTGCTTGAATCTACTGGGTCACTTGAAATATCATATCTATTCATTCCCTGTCTATCCGAACCTGCTGCAAGATTTGTATAACCTCTTTTTGTTATTGAATGTGAATGATTACCTGTTGTGTTTGTAGTTCCTGTATGAGTGTGCGGTGGAAGGTTTGCTTCTTTAATTTTCTTCGAACCTCCTGTTTGCTTTGAATATCTAGCACAGTATAAGAATTTATCTACAATCTGCTTCCACGTACCAAAACCCAGAACTGTTTCTGGATTTGTTGAGTTCATTGACGTATAAATAGAACCTATAGGATATAATGTTTGAAGTATTTCTGTCTTTAATGTTTGAAGCTCTGTTTTGTCAGCTTTCTTATCTAACATTGTTGGTAGTTCATATGCTTCAAAGTTTCTGGCATGATCTTCGATATTCCTGCAACTGTTATCTAAATTGTTAAGAGTATCTTTTACGCTTGTACTTGGATTTTCTAATGGTGCACTTGAACCAAGGGTATAGTTCAATATTATGTCGTCTGCTCTAACAGTAGTGAAGGATTTATGTGTATGGTTCTTGTCAGCTTTATTATCATATAAATCTTGAGCAGTGAATTTAACATTATTTTCATCGTCCATGACATAAACATTTTTACAGCTAATTTCTTTCTTCGTTGTTATGTTTTCATTCGATGTTAAACCTTGTGGAAAGTTAGGAGGTTTATAATATAATGCATCTCCACCAGTTCCGCCAACCGTTCCTTCAATACTTTCTATAGCAACAGTTGAGAAGGAGTTATGTGTATGTTCTTTATCTGCTTTTTTATCTAACATTGCTGGTAGTTCATGTGTTTCAAAGTTTCTGACATGACCTTCAATGTTCATACATTTACTATTTAAGGAGTTTAGTGTATCTTTTACGCTTGTACTTGGATTTTCTAATGGTGCACTTGAACCAAGGGTATAGTTCAATATTATGTCGTCTGCTCTAACAGTAGTGAAGGATTTATGTGTATGGTTCTTGTCGGCTTTACTGTCTAATGTAGCTTGAAGTTCATTTATATCGGAGATGTTGTGTTTATGAGATTTCAAAACTTTGTTCATTGCTTCGAGTTCAACTTTGTCAGCTTTACTTTTAATAGCATCTTCAAACGTTATTTTTGACTTAACTCTCAAAGTAAATCTTGTTCAACTAATACACCTTTAACAGAGAAAGTAGAGGCATAAATTTCATCGTTATAACTAAATGCTTCTGGTGCTTTACCCGTGTCATACTGTACAGTACAGCTTATGTCATAACCTTTAGCACGAATGTATTTATATCTTCTTTCATTGGGGTCTTCCGTCTTCACTTCATCACTTCGTGTTAAATATCCATGGTAGTCCGTTATAATCTGTTCGTCTGAAGTTATATAATGAACGTGGTTCTTGACTTTATCACTCAGAGCTAAAAGCTCATTTTTGTCTGCTTTTTCGGCTAATTTCTCATTAACATCATTCACTTCTAATTCAACTCTTCCGCCAGAACTCTTATTATCATTAATCTTTTTCATTAATTCGGTAATTACGTCATAAAGACTATATTCTGTTTTCGGTTTTGTAAATAATGAGTCAAAATTTCTTTTCATCATTACATCGCTGACATTAATGATATCACCAATTCCTTTTTCATTTATTCTCTTCATTAATTCTGCAATAATGACGAATATATAATCTGTTAATTTATTCTCTTCATCGAGGGTTATAGAATGTTTTGAAATTGAATCATTAACTCCTCTAAATAAATCAATAACTTCAGGATACACGTTTTTAATGTCTCGAATAACCCGACCAGTATCCTGTTGTTCATGTTCTTCGTTCCCGTCGTTACGTGGTTTTATATCTCTAACCATCATCAACGCAGCCATAATCGGAGGTTTGTTGCTACCTGTTCGAAAATCTGACCGTTATGTATGGTATATCTAAATAATTTCTTTGTGTTTGTTAAAACATTTGAAACAAGTCTTTTAAAACCATCTACAAAATTTCCTGTTTCACCTAATGTTCTTGCAGCATTTACAAGCTCACCCATTTCCCGCTTTTGACCCCAAAAACGTCCATATTGCATTTATTTCACTCTGTATAGTTGTCCATTCAGCGAAACTAACACCCGCATTCGCTAAGCTGAAAATGAAATTCAGTGGATCGAACTTAATTCCACCTTCTTTTTTCAATTTCAACGAACTCACTAACATGAGATTTTAAGTATTCTTTCGTTAAAATTGTTTTCCCGATGTTATGTCATTAACGAAACTATCACCGTCAAAAGTTAACGAATTCAATTTCGTCGTTGATGCTTTTATTTCATACACCGCTTTATTGATAGTTTTTGGCTCACCTTCTTTAGAAGCATATGAAACATTAATGAATGAATTATATGTATTCGTGAATGAATTAAAATCAATGATTTTCATTAATGACGTCTTTAATGATTCATTTACTGTCGAATCCCTTAAAGTAATTAATGAACTGTCATTTATGAAAGGTACACTGCAAACCGTCGAGTTTGGATCAAATGCTGTAGTTGGTGCAGGAATATTAATGATATAAGTCATTAAATCATTAAGTGACGTAAATAATGTTGTCGTTTTTTGATTTAATTTCTTTAGCATCTGTTATATATGGTAATTTTATTTCTGTAGTTCTGAATTAAAGATATTCGCTAAAATGTTTTGTAAACTGTTTTGAACAGCTGTGTAAACCGTTGAATTCGGAACTCTTACGATTTCACCGTCCTTAATAAAAGGCATTGCACATGGTGTAGTGCTTGGGTCAAATCTTTCGGGATTATAATTCAACATATATTCTAACGCTTCATAAACAGACCTATATACGGTTGTATTATCTTTTTCAATAATTTCACCGTCCTTTATAAACGGCATAGTACATGGAGTTAAAATAGGGTCAAACTTTTCATAGTCCTTCCATGTTATGTATTTCTCAGTATTTCCATCAGTGATAACAATATATTTGTCAGTAAGTGTGAGAGAGTATTGACCAAAATATAAACGTTTAGCTCTGTCAGCTTCATACGCATATGCAGCTATACTCATATTTTAATGAGAATAAAATGTTGTTCTATTTGCAAAGTACAGACCCAAACGAATACGGGACAGTAAAGCTACAAACAAACTTAGGTCTACAGAATGAGGCGCTTGCATTCAGAATGGTTGACTTCAATACTATCGCTTCATTCGTTATAACAGATGAAACAGATTTCATGGAGATTGAAATAGATGGAAAGAAGCACGAAATAAGATTTCACAATAATGTAGAATATAAGATGGAAACATTAGCTGGAGTGTTAAATGCTCTCATAAATACTACAATAAACAAGGATAACGAAGAAAACTTAATGAATGTTAAACTTATTGCAGGAGTTTTGAAGTTCAGTTATGCGAAGGAGTTTAAGATACCAAGAATGAGTCATAGAGTACAACTTCTTTTGGGTGCATACCATATGACATTTCCTTTGAAAAGTGTTGACAAAACGATTGAGATGAAATCTGTTCCATACGTATGTTATGGCAATTGTTTGTACATTGAGTCAAAAATAGCTAATGTCACAGGTATTTCAGGAGTTAATAGTAAAGGTTCAGTAGAATATAAATCCTTCTGTTATGCAGTCAATTCAATGTTCATTCCAAACGTTCCTGTCATAGCAACTCATTTAGGTAAATGGGTTCGCATTAGTCCTCATAATTTGAAAGACATGCAATTCAGACTTGTTGACTTTCAAGGAGAGCCTGTAGAACTGAAGGCACCAGTGCGAATGACTGTTGAAGTTGACTTTTTAGAAAATATTAAATGCAACAGCTTACAAGAGAACTCAGAGCTAAAAATATAAAGTATGAATGTTATGTATTAGGTCATGAACTTTGGTTGTTGCTGTTTGATGAAACAAATGAAGTTAGTTATGTCAGTCAAGAGAACAGAAAAATATTGTGTTAGTGAAAACTGCACCAAGTCAATAAGATTAGGTTTGCATTATGAAGATGAGTTCGATACTGTTGAAGAAGTTTTGGATAGATACTATAAGTTGCTTTAATTTACTAAAACATATTTCAAACAAAGCTTATATTCTGTTGAAAGTTTTGTATACTCGTTCGAATATTTATACTTAAACTCAACTCCTGTAGTTCCTGGTGTTTCAATGATGCGGATGTTACCTATTTTCATGAATATTGGCGTTTGACCACAGCATTCGATTTCAGGGTCGAGATAGTCAATGACACATTGCTTTCCTGTTATTCGTGATATAACATTTTCAAGGTCCTCCTTTGTTAGAATTATCTTATATAAGATTTATCAAAAGCTTCTTATCGTCTTTGAGTAAAATTGTTTGTATAACTGAGAAGGTAATGGTCTACGTTATCTGAAGGATTTGTTTGAACATTTGTGTAAGGGTTGTCGTTGGCTTCTCTTGAAAGAATTTGGTCCAGTGGTGGATACTCTAACTTAACATCTGATGTAGCGTTAGCGTTTGAAGCTGTGTTTAAATTCACGGATTTCAGCTCTGGTTCTTTTTCTTTCAAACACTCTGAACTATAGTTCTTTATGACAATATTGTTTGTCGTTCGTGAGTCAACATTTGATGTTGGTTCAATTGGAACATTAACGGCACCAGCTAAGATGGATTTGCTTCTCATTTCATATAGAATAAAAACCTTTTATATGTATGAAATGAACAATATACTCGACAAGGGTTTGAATGTAAAGCTAACGAATGAAAATATTGTTGAATTCACTGAGACAGGAGCTGTGTATAAAGATGTAGAACTACTGAACAAAAGAGCAAAGGGAAGAAGCAGGAATATGAACAAAGGGTGGAAGCCTATAAAAATTTATGTCAATGATGGCTCAGGAGGTTCAAACATAAAGTATGCAGAAAGTTATAGAGTTTATGCTCTCAAAGGTGAAAAGCCTTCATTTAAGAACAGCTATTCTAACGCATATCCTCAAAAGCTAACGGATGGGGAAGTGGATGATATGAATGACAGCAAAAATATTAACAGAAATGGCGACAGAGATGCATGGAATTTGTTTACCATCAGTCAATTGAAGGTTAAACTTTAAAACAATGTTGGTCGTTCCCATGGAATATTTTTGACTTTAATGGTATTAGTCATGATATGAATCTCAAGGTATGAACGAGGAGAGATGAGAGACTTATATGCTTCCCAAATTTCTTCAAAAGGTAATGTTATACCTGACTGTTTCCAAATGAGTTCAATATCATAACGTGAGAAACCTTGAAAGATAACGAAGTCAGTTATGAGACGTTTTATGTTTAAAGCAAAAACTCCATGTTTGCATAAGTATTGCTACAGTTAAATGGTAATGTCTGACTTTAGTTATGATGTTAGCTAATGGTGAGTCAGGCTTTGACACTAAACCTTTTCCGGCGAAGTCGTCACAAACGAAGAGTGTTTGAAGGATACTTTTTGAAGGGGTATTTTGAAAGTTTTGATAGAATGTAGTTTGTAAGTCGTTTCATATCGTAAACTCCTGAGTATTGACGTAAGTGGTGTTTGTCAATAATTCTTTCCATCTCCTCAGAAGTCTTTTGCATTCCTGACTGTATGAACTCTACGATGGCATAATATTTCCTCTTACGTCGAATGTAACGTTGAAGAAATTCAATGAGTTCACTGTCTGGAACTTTAACGACAGAGGCTTGAACTTTTGACATAAATGTTTTCGCTGTTGAGTCCATAGAGTCTGAAGTTGCTGATATAATGATTTGGTCATAGTAAGAGTCGTTTCCTAAACGCTCTGTTATGAGTATATGACGAATGAGGTTAAATGTCTTACCTGAACCCATCTTTCCACAATAGAAATACACCATTTGAACAGAACTCATATCTTACTGAAAGGAAGAATAAGAGAAGAGTTAAGTTTGTCTGTAGTTTCATTCATGTCTTCATCTACGTCATGTATTAAATGCTTCATTTTATCTCCATTAAAAATGCAAGTCAGAAATATTCAGAACATAGCACCGAGTCTAACTGACAAGAGTATAAAGATATACTATGAACACGTTATGATGAAACCAACCAAAATTCAAGAAAGTCAGTATACTTATGAATATCCAAGACACTGGGTAGAGTATGTAGGAGGTGAGAAAGCTATTGAAATCAGACAGGTTCGAAGTATTCCAGCAGGAAGAACAATATTATTGAAGAACTTTAATGTTTTGAGATATAATGATGAAACAAAGAAGCAAGATAGTTTCCCTGTTGCTGTGTATGTGAACTTAGATACAGGAGATGACATGAAAGTTTTTACACAAAGCTTCAAACGGTAGTGAGAGAACAACTGACTGCGGAAGGACATCCATTACCTTCAGAAGTTACCATAGCATATAATTTTGAAACAAACTCAATAGATTTTAAAGTCATCTCTGCAAAGAAGTCAGGTTTTACATTTAATGAAGCAGATGTATATTCGAATGAAAACTTCAAAGCTATTGCATGGTTAGATAATGACGATTGCTTTAAGAAAATATTTAAATTCAGTGACTCAACGATGTCAATAGATGACCTTCGTGGAATGTTACCATCGACGTTTACAGTAGAAGGTTCAGCAGGATTGCTTACAAGATTGTCAATTGGTGGTATTTGGTCTCGTGAGAACATTGTTATAAAATCCAGTATAAGTGAATTTGCTGAAGAATCTATATTATGTCTTTCAAACTATGTATTCGCCGCCGAAGCATTATAGTATAACAAACTTTGTCAGTAAGTTTAACATAAGACTTGTCGAACCTTCTTCAATGAAAGATGTTGTGCTACCTAAAGATGGAAAGGATGGACTCATTATTGAGATGATTTTAATTGCATATTAAATGAGCTTGTTCTTGAAGGTCATTCATGATGAAATAACTGTTGTAGAAGATGTTAGCAATTGTTCAGACATTTTGAAGCGTATAGATGATATAAGAAATAAGTTAGATAGACCGCAAAGCGGTGAGGGCGAAGCCCGTGAGAACGCTTATGTTTCATTGACTTTCTCCAGTAACGAGAACTTTTATGAGATAATATTGAAGAGAGATGATTTTAATATGGTGTAAATGGTAGCTTGGGCAGCTTTAGGCGCAATGGGAACAAAAGCATTAGCATTTGGAGCAAAAGCACTTGGGGCTTATGACGCAGTAAATAAAATGAGTGGAGAAAGGGTTTCAAAGACATTAGACGCAAATAAAGGAAAGATTGGAGGCTGGGTTGCAAAGAAGTTAAGATTAAATAAAATAGGGCTCATAAATAAAGCATCCAATTTGGTTGCGACTGAGTCAGAAAATGCTTTAGGAAAGGACGATGAGTTTGCAAAACATGCAAAAGACTTTAATGACCAGATGAAAGGTGAAACAATGCATTTAAATAGAGTCGATGGAACTAAAGAAAATGTTTCTTCTCCACAACTTCCACCAGCAGTTCTTCCGTATGGTCCCTATGGAATGTATGGAAACCCTTACGAAAGACCATTTGACCCATTGACTGGTGGAAGTAACTGGTATCATTACGGCCGAAGAAGAAAGACAGTCAAGTTGGAGACAGACGTGAAGAAAGCAACTAAAAAGAAACCAAGGAAGAGAGTTATAAAGTAATGAATTCAACAGGGTGAAAAAAGAGGTGAAAAAAGAGGTGAGATTTCACCACTTCACCTAAATTTATTTTTCACCTCTGACAACGTTTATTTTTTCATTAGTGAGTTCGTTAGTGAAAACGTTAGTGTGGGTGAAAAAAGAGGTGAAAAAGAGGTGAGATTTCACCACTTCACCTAAATTTATTTTTCACCTCTGACAACGTTTATTTTTTCATTAGTGAGTTCGTTAGTGAAAACGTTAGTGTGGGTGAAAAAAGAGGTGAAAAAAGAGGTGAGATTTCACCACTTCACCTAAATTTATTTTTCACCTCTGACAACGTTTATTTTTTCATTAGTGAGTTCGTTAGTGAAAACGTTAGTGTGGGTGAAAAAAGAGGTGAAAAAAGAGGTGAGATTTCACCACTTCACCTAAATTTATTTTTTCGCTATGTTTTCATACGTGTGGGAGTGGTGATATCATTTATTTTTAAGTTTATTTTTTATTTTATTTTTTATTTTATTTTTATATAAATGACAGAACAAAAGCAACTCATTCGAATTCCACAGTATAACAAACATACATTTAAACATTTATTCTTCCTTCCTGAGCATAACATGTTCTTTCAAATACATCCGAGACCAGTTGACTTTTCATTGACTGTGTATAAAGATAGAAATAGTTATATCATTAAACCATACGATGACGAAGGTAAGTTATGTAAATTGTACGTTAAGAAGTTAGAGAAAGTTTATGACTTCAAGTATGACTACAATAGGGTTAACACTGATGATGAAGATATTGAGGAAAATTTATGAGAACGTTTATTTTTTCATTAGTGAGTTCGTTAGTGGGTGAAGAGGTTGGTGGCTTTGTAAATATTTAAGGTTAAGTTAGTGTTGTCGTTTGTGTTGTAAAATATACGTTAGCGGTTTCGTAAAGTGTCAAATTCACATATAATGGGTAAGGAGGCGCGCAGTGCCGCCGTACCCAAGATATGTTTACTAACTAAGACTTGTTTTTCAATAATTTAGTTTTGAGAACTTTACGTGTCATATCATCCAATATGGCAAAAAATGGAAAAGAAACATTACCGTGAAGGTAATGAATATCGCAGTGCCATATCAAATTCTTTGATATGGCACGATATTTGGTAGGTGGATTTGCTGGTTTGTAATCTCTTTTTGAAGATAAACCTGATTCCATCATAAATTTTTCCACTTGATGATGCTTTATTTTTTGTAAATTGTCAAAAAATTGATCTTTTGTCAAATCTTCTATATTTTCAAATTCTTTTGCAATTTCTTCTTTTTCTTTCTCACAATCGGGATTTTGAGCAATATTTTGAAACCTTTTAATCAATAAATAAGTTTTTGAAATTCCTCCTTTATATTGTGAAACACAAGAATTAATTAATTGTTTTTGCTCAAATGTTGGTGGATTTGGTTTTCTGCCGCGACTAACTTTTGGTAATTCGATTTCTTGAAGTTGAAATGCTCTTCTTATTGTATTTTCGGCAACATTCAATTTAATTTTACCATTTTCCAATTCAACTTCCTTTCCCACACTTTTGTAAGATTCACCTTCTTCTATTCTTCTTTTAGCTTCAAATAGCCATTCTCTGCTTATAGATTTGGCAGTAGTCATAAAAGTGGTCCTTCTTTTGTGATAAGATTCAAATTTGAATGTGGATGATAAATAAAAATCAAAAATAATTGTTATAATTTAAATGAATAAGTAATTTAAAACGATTTTATTTATGATCAAATTTTATATATTTTTTTGGATCAAATCCATTTTAATAGAATTTATATACTATTCATCTATTAGTAAACACTACCGTATATTATTTTTTAAGCTATCTTATTTTTTGAACTTTTATTCAAATCTTTGGTCGCAAGAAGAATTGCATGATAAATAAAAACATTTAATCAAAGTCAATTTTATTTTTCATATTCAAATGGACTGAGTGTTAACATTTAACATTTTTTGCTAATTGTCGTCAAAAATTAGGCGTAAAGCAAAAATTGATATTTCATATGGTTTTATGATAGATAAGCATTATATTCCCACTCATTATATTCGTAAATTTTGAGGTTTATCCTTCGCTTTTAAGATCATTGAATTTGATTTTTATATAAAATAGTTGTATATTAGAAAATAATATGAGTTTATGTGATATTATTTTTCAGAAGATTTTGTGTTCTTCTTCAAAATTTTATTTTTTTATTAAAAAGAATCTTTACAAAATATACATTTACTTTAATTAATATTTAAAAACGTGCTCTATCAAAAGTTCCAAAAATTCAATATTTTAGCTTTTCTGAGGTGTCACTTTTGATGAATTTCTGTTTACAACAATTATTTAATTTTTATCTGGATTTATATGTAATAATAACAAATTCAAATGAAGATTTCGAGTTTTTGTTAAAACTCAAGCGTCATTCACAGTGTCTCTTTATGGTAACTTAGATATTTCACTGTATTTGAAAATGTGGATGCGAAAGGAAGGAATAGTGCAAAGTTCATAATAGAATAAGTTAAGATAATGTGTAATAATAATATGAACCTGGTTGACCTCTCCACAATTCATAAATATTCCCACGCTAGGCAATAAATTTTTTTACAAAAAACTCTCAGTATTGGATGGATAATCATGCAAATCATATCGACAAAATTGATAATGACTATCAAATATTTAGTGCCGATGAAGATGATAATAAACCAATCAAACAAATTGTACAATTAGATTCATCTGATATTTTAACTTTACCCGAACAGCCCCAACTAAAAATCAATGCAAATATGCCTATTAAAACCCCCAGAAATGCTAATAATTCTGTCTCCACTCTTGTAGATATTATAAAGGCAAAAATGCCCACATTAAATTCTGAAATAGCTGATCAACGAATAAACTCACTTGAAAATCAATCTATAACACAAGAAAAACAATCAGAAACACATAAAATGTATATTAAAATAATTACAGAGAAAGTAAAAATGCTTCAAAATCGTTTGTCAATATTGGAAAAGAACGATGAAACACTTGATAATGAAATTCAAACAATTAAAACACAAAATGAAACAAATAAAAAAAGTTTCGAAATACTTGAAAAGCAACAAGAAACAATTAAAGAGAAAGTAAAAGCTCTTCAAAAGCACGATGAAACACATGATAATGAAATTAAAAGCTCTTCAAAATCAAACTTTAATATTAGAAAAGCACGATGAAAAACATGATAATGAAATTAAAACAATTAAAACACAAGATGAAACAAATAAAAACATTTCGAAATACTTGAAAAGCAGCAAGAAACAATTAAAAAGGAACAAGAAACAATTAAAGAGACAGTAAAAGCTCTTCAAAAGCACAATGAGACATTTGATAATGCTATTGAAACAATTAAAACGCAACATAAAACAATGGAAAATCAAATCGAACTAATTATGAAAAGAATCGAACTTCTTGAAAAAGAAGAAGGAATAATAAATAACAAAGTATGAATAATCAAACAGAGAAAATGCATCAACATTTAAAATATAAAAAAACAGATTTATCTTGCAGCCCGTCATTACGAATAAACAAACATATATTTAACAATTTATTTTATTCCTACCTCTGAAGATGAGATAGTATTTTTTCTATTTTATATTGATTATATTTCACAATTGCTGCTATAGTTTCTTCATCATCAAACGTTGAGACTTTTTGCAAAATTACTTGGTATATTTCATCTGAAACTTGTGAAATATAGAAATCCATAGATGACAAGAATTCACAAGCTATTTTTGCAACCAATTCTTCATCAGAAAATCCATTCTTAATCAAGTAAAAACAAAATTCTGCTTCACCAACAATTTCATCTGAATCAAATTCAGGATTGATTGTAACCAACATTTCTTCAATAAGTTCACTTGTATTATCAAAATTATATTCAGACAAAAGCTTTGCTAGAACAACAGATGCTTTTCTTATGACTTTCGGAGAGTTAAAATTATCAAGACATTTTCTAACAAATCCATAAATTGTCTCAATATTTTGAATTGTTTTTGTTTTTGATGTCGAAACTAAATAAAAAAGAGATTGCAAAGTTGTTCGAACAATCAAATCATTATCTGTTACATTCAAGAATGAGAATATTTCATTCATTGTTATATCATAAATTTCAGATTCCAAATGACAAATCAAACAAAATCTTGACAATAAATTTAAAGAATAAATTCTCATCAAACTTGAACAATTTTGTTGAGAATGTAAAGTATTATAAAGTACTTCTAAGCATGGAAGACATAATTCAGGACCAGCAACATGAAGAAACTGACTAAAAGCATAAAACAAAGGATGAATCAATGATGGATCAATTTCTTTTGAAGTGTCACTTTTCAACAATCCCAAAAACTTCAAATTCAAAGCGTCTATGAAAATTCCGAAATATTCATCGAAGAATTCCTGTGTCAAATTGGATATTGACGAGAATGCTGTTCCAGAAATTAACAAGAACCCAAAGAATGAATCTTTCGAAGGATATCCTTTGATACAAGGTAAAAATGTTTGTATGAAAAAAGAAGTATCTTGATTCAAAGCCAATAAACCATCAATACAATAAGCAATGCCTTCTATACAAGGACTAACGTAAGCGGAGCTTTCAAATGGTTTCTTTTTCAAGTTATCAACAATAAAAGGTAAATATTCTTCCATTTCATTCGGAATTAAACCAAAAAGTTTCGAAAGACATCTCAAACAAGGTGCAGCCTCTTTTGCTGACTTCTCTTTATCCTGTATTATACAACAAAGAGGAGGAACAATAACAGGAATGAATTCAGAAATCGATCTACATAAAACTAAAGAAATTTCTTCAATACATCGACATAAATTATCAATTTGACAATTTTCTGATGAAAAACTTTCTTCTATCAAGTCAACAATCTCATTAAGATGTGCTTTGATACTCTGTGGACATGTCTTTGTTAATCTTCCATAACATTCCAATACAATTTCTTTCATTTCTTTCCGATTTTCGAAAAATTTTGACAAAAAAGGTGACAAACTTTCAAAAATTGTTTCATCAACTTCATCGAAATGTTGGAGTCCACTTGTTATACAGGAGAGGACTTTTTCGACCACGAAATCATCTTTTTCTTCAATATCAGTCATCAAAATTTGGATCATTTCTGAAATGTTTGTTGGTGTTTTTTCGACTTTAAAAAGGAGATTATCAAGAACAACCAAAGCATCATGATTGTTGATCCTTGATACTAAGTATTCAACAATGTCATCAACAAAAGGAATCAATGATTCTGGAGTATTATCTGTAATTTCTCTAATTACGTTGCAAATTGAGTTAACAACCTCTTCATCATCCTCTATATCGTTTTGCAATGCAACTTCTAAATAATATTCTATGTTTTCTGCAATAATTTCTTGAAAACCTTCAGAAATTGAACGAAGTATCAAAAGAGAGACTTTCTTGCAACATGTCTTCATCAATTCATCACCATCATCATTAGTTGTAAGCTCCTGAACAATCTGCATGAAGATTTGGAACAGTTCTTCCGCATCATCGCTGAATGATTTTGATAAACCATAGAAAAATGAAAGAGGGAAGTTGTAATCGAGATCATTTCTGCATGCTTCTATTGCTAGATTGCACGAATTGTTGATAATCATTGGAATTTCTTCTCTATTTTCTAATGCAATTATTTCAGCAAAAGCTTCAATGATGTTATGCATGGAAATACGCAATTTAATAGGTATGGAGTCATCTGAACATGCCGAAATTGCAATTTGTAAAAAATCTGACTTAGATTCTTGGATAAATTCTGGAGATTCAGCAACTAAATTGCAAACTATGCGTATGTATGAGTTTAACTCTTGTTCATTATGGTTTGAGTATAAATTACTGTGTATTTCGTTTTGAACAGTTGTAATAATTTGTTCGCCAATATTTTTCTCTTCTTCTGAAAGATATTCTTCAATCCGAACAAGATGGAACTGAAGGAAATTAAGTGCTTCATTCTGATCATCTGGATGAGTAGAAGATGTAAGAATTTCATTACAAATTGTAAAAATATGAAATAAAGCTTGCCTAGAATCATCTGAAGTATAAAATTGATATATTTCGTTCCATATGTGAAGTCCTACTTGTGATTTCGTTGGATCTTGTATAATTTTATTTGCATAAATAAAAATTTCATTCCATGGAGTAGTTTCAATTGTCTTCTTTAAAAATTCGGCCGCATCATCCATTATGAATTTGAGAATAGTAATATCTTTGGTTTTGTATAGCAAATCTATGAACAAATTTTGTATTTGAAGAATTTTTTCTGGTTCAAGTTGTTCAATGTATGTAGAAATCAAAAAGCTTAGTCGCAAAGCGCATATTTTAAGAACTTTATTGTTTTGGGAACGATGTAACAGATATAAATGTATTAAAAATGAATCAGGATCTGCGTCAATTTGTTGAATTTGCTCAAGAAAGGCCTTCTGCTCTGTTGATTCGTAAGATAAATATAAATTTTCGAGCGTATCAACAAGATCTGAAGACAATTTTAAAAACTAAAATTTTGTTCAAAATTTGTTGATACTAAAATTTGTTCAAAATCAGCGAGTCCTAAAAATATTGATACGGAAAAAGTTTTATTTTATTTTTTTTATGTCATGTGATATGAAATGAATGTGATTACTTAGTTAATTCATGCAATGCAAGTTTCTCGACATAGGATATTAATCGAAAGAATCTAACCATATAAAGGTTGAACATTCGTTCAACAAATGATTATTTTCATCTGCGCTCCATGCTATCACATTCATGTTGCTGCTCCAAAATTTTGCAAATTCATGACAAAAAAAAAGTTAAATTATCAAAATGCAAGTGGATGCATATTTGTTTTGTGCATCTTTATTTTTTTTTTCAGTAACATTGGCACCATACAAAATAAGAAAATCAGCTGTTTCTTTAAAACCCTTACGTTCTGCAATGCAAAGAGCCGTTTCTCCATCATTATCTTTTTCATTTATATTTACACCTAGTGAAAGAAAAAGTTCAGCTGTATCTTTACCACCAAAAGTAGCTGCACAATGAAGTACACTTTCCCCATCTTTAAGTCTTTCATTGATATTTGCGCCATACGAAAGAAGAAGTTCTGCTATTTCTGTATTTTTATTTTCTGCTGTATAATGAAGAGCCGTTTTCCCCTCATTATCTTTTTCATTGATATTTGCGCCATACGAAAGAAGAAGTTCTGCTATTTCTGTATTTTTATTTTCTGCTGTATAATGAAGAGCCGTTTTCCCCTCATTATCTTTTTCATTGATATTTGCACCATGTGAAAGAAGTTCGGCAGCTTCTTTACTATTTCTATATTCAAAATATATCTTATAATATCTTCGGGGAGCAATGTCTCTGGTTCAATTAATTTTGTTTTGATCATATCACAAATAGAGTTTAAATCTTCTCTTTTTTCCGTTTTCAGCTGATACAATGCATTATATAAATCAATGTGAGATTTATATGCACTTCTCAGTTGGCTGTATTTATTCGAGGGCATGTCATGATCAGACATCAAAAAATTTAAAAATTATATATTTCAACTTTATCATTCAAAAAGTCATTGAAAATCATCAGTAGGGGAAAAATACTATATTATACATGTGGAAAACAATGGCAACAAAGATTTCGAATTAAATATTGCTTGCTTTCGTAATTCCAATGACTCATTTAGGGATGAAAATCGGGAAGATATGCTGAATTATGGAAGATAAATTGTTGCATTTTTCTTGTTGCATACACCTCTTTACTATATCTTCTTTACAAAATAAAATGAGATTTAAATTAAAAATTTGCTTTCTCTTTTTACGACACAAGTATACATGGGCTAGAGATAATTTTTATGACTGAAATTATGGAAATTAAAACGTAATTCACAAATCTTTTAGTAACTTTTCAAACTAAGATCATATCATTCATATTTGGATCCTGCTGATTCGGTTTATCTTATTTATTTTGAAATCTATCGTTTAGGTCTTCGTGGGATCACCTTTGGTTTGACTTGTGCATTTTTAATTTTAAATGTAATTGCAGGTCAAAAATTTACCAAAGGAAATATGAAGGAAAAACGACTTTCCAGAAATCTTTGCATATACGTATTCTATTTTTTTTTTTTATTCTGCATTGTTTTTTAAATTTTTGGTATTTTTGACATCATATTTTTTTTATGAGTTCTGGTTTCGGAAAAGGGTGCCAATTTTATGATGGATCTATTTCTGCGATGAAAAGAGAGTGGGGCTCTACGAATCCATCTAATCCTTTTCGATCTTCTTTTCAAAATCCTCTAGGATTAGCAGCGCAACGGAATACAGACACGTATATGCACAATCTTAAATATGCTTTAGAGGCATCCCAAGTTAAAAGTCTTGATGAAGAATTTTTCTCAAACGATGGTCATGTTCAAAATTATCAACGATTTTTGGTTCCTTTTTCAGTTTCAACCACAGAAGTACCCGAATATCTCGAAGAATTATGGAATATCCAACTTATTTTGCAAAGCTACGATTCAAATAATGAAGAGCAAACAAATACTTTGTTAAACTTCATAGAAAACAACGTTTACACAGGCGTACGCGAATTTGAAACGAGTGTATTCGTTCGTCCACGTCTTGTTAAAGAATATGTCCAACTTTATTCCAAATTTTCCAAAAAACTTAAAATGTTTATCAGGAATTCATCGACATTACCAGTTTCTTTTGGTGTTTTCCTCACATCAGAGCACATTGGAAGTAATTTAGAAGCATCACAACTTACATTTTCGACATTTCAAAATCCTTCGATAAATCGACTCATTACGAACATTGTTTATTCACCAGAATCCAATGGAACCCTAGAAAAGATTCCTCTCGAGATGTACGAAGCAGCAATTTCAGATAATGTCGAGTATTTCGTAAATATTACAAGTGATTCCGATTTCAACAAGTTGTACATGATGGATGGACGATCAATCAACATTATACAGTTCTTAGCATTGTATGGTGCCATCAACTGCTTCAAATTCATTTTATTAAATCATCCAAAATTAAATTCCATTGCAGGCTTTGCTGTAGCAGGTGGAAACATGGAGATCATACGTATTTTGATACATAACAACATCAAATTCGACAACGTCACGTTCATACCTCTTTATTTCAGAAATGATGAAATTTTTGATTGGATTGTTCAAAACGATTTCACAGAAGAACAAGAAGAAAAGCGTACAGGATATCTATACTTCACAGAAACCATGACAATTCATGCAATTTTAGGAATTATGGGTCGAAATAATTTAATTAACTGTGTTGATCTTTTATCTGTTCTTTATTTGGATGGATTAGTTGATCCGGTCAGAGAATTGTCCAAACAATCATGTTTCAGTATCAATTTATTCTACGAAGTCCAAGAAGAAGAAATTTTGAATAATTTGATAAATAACATGTCACAAACGGTTTTTACAAAAATTTTAAACGGCTGTTTATCACTTGAATTAGAAGATCATCTTAAAACGATTGTTAATCATGAGAACTTTGTTGATTTCAAGATGGACCAGAGTATTATTGATTCTATCAAACGAAAATTCCCAAAAATTCATGATTTAATTGTTGAAAGATTGTTTGCTGAACAAACACCTGATAAATTATATAAAGCATTTGTCAGAGGACTTCCTATTAATCCTGAACATGTTTTGGATGCAATGTTCTATTGTGCAAAGATATTCGATTTCAAGACATTGATAAAAATGGTTGAAAAATATTACAAACAATTGGATCATAATCAAATGTCACTTTTATTAGAAAATTTTCCATATGTTTGGCTTGTTATTTATAATGAATTTTTGAGTAATTATAATGATAGCAAAGATGAATCTATTGTTAAGTTGATCAGATACTTCTTTACAAAGGATATAGAGCCAACAAATAATGTTATTGATTTAACTGTTTTGATTAACCAAAATTTGCCAATTTTACAAAAATTGACAGTTTTTGACATTGTCAATTTAATGAGAATTCTTCCATTGTTTGATAAGGAATTGATGAATTTATTATTATCGAAAGAATTAATAACACAAGAGCAGATCAATGATTTTTCATCTCAGAAAAATGTTGATATTCATAATAAATTCGCAAAACGTTCGAAATTCCAAAATATAATTAGAATTTCGAGCAATACAATTGATAACATGTTTTTCAATCAGCCAGGAACTGATCTGTTATCAAAGATGATCAAAGCTGTTGCGGAATCCAAAAAATTCAAAGAAGAATTTTTCAAAAATCCGTCACTTTTGGTTGATATCATTCCAAACAATCCATTTTTGATTGATTTGTATATTGAATACGATAACGAAAATGATCTTGAGAAACCTGTTTTCGACAAACTCTTAGTTTACTACATGTATTTAGTTGGTCAAACAATTGAAGAAAGTCGTGATTTTGGATATAAAGTTAGTTCACAACTTCCAACAAACATGATGTTGTTATTTTTAAAGGTTTTGGCGAAATCGAAATATCGAAAATACTATGATCTCAAGGAAATGCTTAAATACACAAATGCACCATCATTTATTCAATACTTAGAATTCACTCAAGAAGAAATTGATTATTTGAAGACAACTCCTGAAATGAAAGATAAAATCTTCAAGAATCCAAAGAATGCGAAATATTTCACTGTTCCTGAGATTTTGGAACGCGAAAAGAATTTCATTACATTAATTAATGTTTTCTTAGTTTATGAGAATTTGAATAATGAAAGTGCTGCATTGGTATTAAATGAAATTAGTCATTCAAGGTTGTCTTCTCCTTTCCAAAGAAATCTTCTTAATAGAGAGATTTTCTTAAAGAATATTACAACGAGAAACTTAATTAATTTCGTCGCAACACATAATGATCCTGATTTTGAAACTAATCTATTAAATAAGCCACAGCCTGATGATATTTCTTACAAAGTTGTTGATGAATTTTTCTCAAGAGATTTCTCAGAAAATGATTTGGTAAGTTTGATTGTTAATTTCCCTGAATCGAAACAATTCGTTGAATATGTTTTGTCAAAATACAAAGAAAGATTATCTAAGGATTCTTTGATTCTTTTAGGTTGTATTACAAATGTTCAATACGTTCCTAAAAATCATAAAATCAATGACGATTATTTTGTCAAAATTTTCCAAAACTTTACAAACACAAAGAGATGGTTGAAGAACTTGAAAGATTACGATATTTCCGTTGAAGCACTTACGAAAGCTCTTCATTTAGCCGCAAATAGAAGTGACGAAGACAATATTTATTGGCTTGTCAGAAAAGGCGCTTTAGTTAATACAATTGTAAATGGAGAAAGTTTTATTGAAAAAGTTCTGTTTGCTGATGATCCTGAATTTTTGAAGTTCTTGATAAGACAAGGTTGCGATTTGGGATATGTCTTGAAAACACCTATTTCTGTCATCATGGAAAATGAAATTCATTCTCCAGTGAAAAGAGAAATTTTCTTGAATACGAAAATGACTTTTGAAGCAAGATATACAAATAAATACATTATTGAAACTTTGGATCAGGGTTATATAAGAACTGATACAATTTATTTAACAAATTATATCAGTAATCTTTTCAAAATGCCATTAACTGAACAAAGATTGATTGATGAAATGAAAAATGAAAATTATAACATTGAAAATATTTCTAATTTGATGGATCTCATTTTCTCACAAGAAATTAATTTCCCATTCGCTCTTTTCTTCTTGACGCAAATCACATCAAGATTTAATACTATTTTGCAGCCTTTCTGTTTCGAGTTTTTGAAGCAAAATCTAAATAATCCGGAAATAGAAAATTTGATCGATCAAAAAATGGAAAAAGCTTCAAAACCTTACAAAAATATTTTCTTCGTTTTGTCAAGTAAAAGTGACAAAATTGAGAAATATAACCGCAATACAGATATATTGTTTATTGCTACGAAAATTGGCAATTTCGATGTTATCAAGAGTTTACTTGAAAATGGTGCAGATATCAATGAATTGGAAGGTTTCTTTTACCTTCATTCTCCAGCATTAGAAGCTGTTTCTCACGACAGAATTGATTTGTTGAAACTCTTTTACGAAAAAGGTTTAGACTTGAACTCGATTTATTCAAGTGATGATTTGACTTTGATTAATTGCGCAATTGAATATAATGCACAAAATTGTTTCGATTTCTTGGTTGACAAGGTTGAATTGAGACACAGAGTTGTACAATCGCCAATGTCTTGTGCATTACAGCATCTTAATGTTAATGATCATTACGCGGTTGTTCTTTATGAAAAAATCGACAAAACTGTTGAAAGAATTGAAAGTGATTCTTTCAAATTATTTGAAAAATGTCTTGAAACTAATGAACAATTCCAATATAATGGTCCGTTGAGAACAACTAATTACCAATCTATTGGACATTATGGCCTTGTTCTTCGCAACAGCCAAAACTACATCGATCTTGCTAATAATTCTACTTTTGTACAGAAATCTCTTGCTTTTAGAACTTTTCATAACAGAGAAAATATTGGCTTGTTTATCAATTTTGATCCTTTCCCTTATAAAGATGCTAAAGCAAAGCCGATTCCTTACTACCCTGATTATGATTATGATGATTACGATGATTACGGTGGAGGGCCAGACTTTGACGAAGTAGATGAAATTGATTTTGTAGATGATGATGAAGTTTTATAACCAATTTGGGTTATAATTTTTAATTGTTTCGAAAGTAATTCCATAAAATATGATGTCTGAAATTCATAAATCAGATTTTAAGAAGTTAATTTTATGATTTAGGATATAAAATGTAATAATAAAAAGATATGTCTGAAACTAATTCCATAAAATATGATGTCTGAAAACAATCGATTTTATGATTTATGATATAAAATGATTTATAAATTCGCAATCCTATAGGATATAATATGTAATAATAAAAAGATTTGTCTGAAAAGTGACACAGAGTTCTCATAAAAATATTGAGAAGAATTTTGTTTTTTACCTCAAATTTTCCAGAATTGTGAACCAGACTTTTAATTCGGAACTCAAATAAATGTATTGTTTTTATTTTGATATCGGGCAGATTCCTATCTATAAAGGTACCTTTCTATTTCGCAATGAATTTTAATTATTCATCCCATTCTTAACATATCCCATTGATAGTTTTCATGTGTATATAATTAAGGATGTCCTTCTATGTTATACTCTTGCAAATTTGAAAATCAAATTTCTTTTTTATTCAAATTTTAAAAGGTTGCGAAGACACATTTGGAGTGTTTAAAGGCGTAAATGAAAAAGAAACTAAAATATCCGATGTGACTTTTTGAATTGAAAATTCAAAAAGTCACACGGATATTTTTAATTTTTTTGAAATTGTTCAGAGTTATTAATAATTAGCCATATATACTTCTAAATTCGCATATCATGTATTTAATTTTCTGCCAATTTATTGTTGACAAAATTGTGAAATGGCAGAGAAGTGCCTCCACTCTGTATATTGAAGTAAATGGCTTGGTACTTAACTGTTAAACATGAATCTAGTAGGTGATAGTAAATGCCTAACTCAGACTTGTACTACCCTCAGCTTCACCAGATTTAGATATGAAATTCACTTGTTAAATGCAAAATACTGAAAAAAGCAAAAGAAAAAGCATTCAGTAGTTGCTTATATAATAAGTTACGCATTAAATAGTTTAAATACATAGAATCCATTGAAATTTTAACTCGATCTAAGTAAAGAAATCTAGATAGTGCCAATATTATAGTATATATAAGTAATATGGCATACACAGATACCATGTTACTCATGGATAGCTGTTCATTTTTTTAAAAAATCAATAACGAATTTAAGTATTTAAAGAATTTCATAAATTTTACATACAATTATGCTTGATTTTGCATGCATGCCTTGGTTTATTTATTAAATCCAATATATAAAAGATAATTAATTATGAATTTTAATTCATCATTTAAGCCATTTTTAATAAAAGAATTATGACATACAGTATTAATGCAAATATATTATCATTTATAAAATTCATCATGTTTAGAATGAGAATTTATTAAGAAATCTATTAAAGCATTTATAATGTAATAGCTTGTTGATGAAGGGTTAATATGTGACTCATCAACAATGAGCGATTGTTGACTATTCGGAATATCTTTATTAAGGGAAGCGTAAGAATTTATAATGAAATCGGTCTATTTCGAATAGTGAATGGCAACTTATTAATTGGAACATTGCGTTCTGATGATATAAAGAATAAATTTTGAATTTTTTTTTGCGATTTGAAGTTTTCCTCTCACGAGGTTTCATGTATTAGCGTTTGCACGCATTCCCCTTCTTTTTAATCAATAATTTAGTATTGTCTCCGTAAGAAACTTCCATTAACTCATATGCCCAAATTTCTGAAGAAATGGTAAAAATTAGCTATTTCCTTTCAATTATTTTTGCTTCTTTTTACGAAAATTATATTTGTTATTACATGTAGATTCTCGAAAAGTGAGAATGTCAGATTATTAAGGTTCCTTTTTGAATAGTTTACGTAAAATTAAAAATCAAATTTGAACACACATTTAGAATCTATGATATACTAAGAATTTATTTTCCCATATTTTTTGTCCAAAAAACTCAAAATTGAGAGTGGTGGCACTTCTAATGGCAGAATTTGATGGTAAATTTTTTTCCAAAAAATTTAAATGAGCGATTTCCAATTTATTATTGATTCCCACTATTGTAAAAACTCATCATTATTAAAGATTGGAATAGATTTTTCATTTATAATTAATGGAAATAGATTTGTAACTACTCAAAATCATGCATCAGTCATCAGTGGTATTGTCAGAGATATTCTCATAACAGATGAAAGTGCAACAGAAATTAACATCAGCATTCCCGATAATGGATCACTTGAAAAATCTCTCAACATATTTTCAATTTTCCTTAGAAATGGTTATATAAAAGAAAATATTGATTTACTCACAAGTGAAACTCTTTATCATATCGGAGTTTCTATCGAAAACGAGGATTTCATAAATCAATATATTAATATTATGACAATTTCAAATATAACAAAAGATAATATCAAATCATTCATAAATTATAGCCTTAAGACTCATGATTTCGAAAAAACTTCAACATTCATTGCATCAAATTTATCCCATATTGGGCCATCAATATGTTCATCATTGATTCAATCAGTCTTTGATACCATCAAAGATTAAATTTTGGTGTCCAAAAAAGAAGATATTTTAATAAGCTTTGCAGCTTCAATTTTAAGTAATACTCATCTAGCTGTCTTCACTGAAGATGATGTTTGTGAATTTGTAATTTCCATGTGTAAATCTTTATCTGAAGTGAACAAACTTGTATCATATATTATGTTTGAATTTTGCACAAAAAAAGCAGTAATCAATTATATAAATTATTATATGGGATTATTAAATCAAAATTGGAATGAATCAAATTCATCGAATAAAATTAATGATGAAACTCTAATATTTTGTCAACTTTTTGAGGATCTTTTGACAAAAGAATTTGAGTATGTTAGTTCTACAAGGGAAAATACTTTAGAATTTGATTCAACAACAATTGCTTCATTTAATTCTAAATCAATTTATTTGCTATTTGTTAAATGTAGTAATGAGAGGGATCTAAAATCAATAAAATATGCAGTGGATAAATGATATCATTTATGTACAAATCATTATGGTCTTACGATTTTAGATTTTGCAGTATCAAAGAATTATTATTTACTTGTTAAAGATCTGGTTACATGTGGAGCTGATCCAAACTATGTCAATAACAATCAAAATACAGCCCTAATGCGAGCATGTAAATATAATAATATCAAGATAGTAGAATATCTCTTGACATTGAAAGGAATTGATGTTAATGCAAAGAGTCGAAAAGGAAATACTGCTCTTCATTATGCATGCATTAATGAATCAATTGGAATAATTCTACTGCTTTTAAGTTACAAAGGAATAGATAAGAATGCTAAAAATTCAAAAGGATTAACACCATTTCAAATGACTCGAAATCCTGAAATTCAAATAATGCTTAACTCCCATTAATTATTGACAAATAATATGTTTTCGAATTTAAGAATAAAAGTTACTTTATATACATGTAAAAAATTGTGTCAAGGTGAATTGTTAATGAAAACCATGTATTTTGATGTCATTGTTGATATCAAAAGTTATTGAAACACTACTACCTTAGGAATAGTTTTTAGATGTCATGAATTGGGTTAAAACAATGATTTTTAAGGGCATGCATAAGTGCGCATTAAACAACTTTCAATAATGTTGTTTAAGGATAATTTCCAATGATGCTTCGCAAAGTTTGTCAGAAATTTGAACTAAAGTCAGATGCCCTCTAAAAAATCAGGAATTATGAAAAAGTACTGAACTATTATGAAAAATATCATTAAAATAAAGGGAATGTTAAGGTCCCGTAGTGTAGCGGTTATCACTTGGGACTTTGAATCCCGAAATCCAGGTTCGACTCCTGGCGGGACCATCATTTTTTTTTCCTTTTTTTTAAAGTGAAGTTCACTTTTTCATTTTTATACAAAATATGAACCAAATCAATACATTTTCTATAATTCATGATGATGAGTTCGTACCACTTAACACAGAAGTCATGGATAACGTTGTTATTATTGAAAATGATGAAGTTGACTGGCAAGATGATTTTAATTTGCCTCCACACCCCGAAATGCAACATCAATATAGAAGATATGTATCACAAAATGAGCAAGAGGAATCAAATCAAAACATGTAGTTTAAACAAACATAAAAAAAACTTTATTTCTTACAATTAGTTCATTTCAGCACTCGTTTTTGTTTCCCATGTACAAGCGTTACTATTTCAATAGATATACTTTCATTTCAGTATATTTAGCCAATCTACATATTTCGAGCTTAATTTAACCCGCATTGCTTGTTTGAGCGCATACCAGTTTGATCTTCTCCTGATTATTTCATTTTAGATATTACGTGCAGTTATCAAAAAACAAAATTTCAAAATTGGATAGACGAAATTCAATAAGCTTTGACTATTAAATAGAATATCTATGAAGTGATGGTAATTGCGTTGATATGATTAAAGAATTTGTTAATAATTTTTTCAATACAATTTTTTTGGGAAAATGTATGTAGAGCCACTACACCTTTGATATTAGGTGAGTGCGCCTTGCAAATGGATATTATATTTCTCGTTATCATTGCAAATGATATTTTGGTAAAAGGTAGTCCAACAAAAAGAAGGGAACTTCGTCGACAACAAAGATATCGACCAAAATTATTCCCATTATGCTTTGACATATGAAGCATAGTAATAATGTGTTATGGACTCATAGAATGAAGTCTCCCTTTCATCTAGCATGCGATAAATCATACCAAAATAATATCTGGAGGCATATATATTGGTACAATAAAAAATCCAATTTTTTTTATAAACTGAGAACATTTGACAAAATCAAAATGATTGGCAATCAGTATCATTCTGTCACTCAGCCTGATCGACCCAATCATTGGGAATTGTTAAATGAAGCAGATAAGCAAACTTATGACAGAATTTGTGCAGCTCTGACAGCTCCATCGAATAAAAACAAAAAGAATAAAAGAGCTGACGAATTCAGAGAAATATTGGAAGCTATTACACTTTTCGAAAATCATGATGAAGTTGATAAATGGAAACGCTGCTTAGTTTGCGGAGTTTATCAATTTGAAGATGGAATTGCCGTTAATATTTCAGCTCTTAAGCGATTAATATTTAAATGCAAGTCATCAATAAATGGCTCTTTGAAGGCAATTGGATATCCAAATGTTACATATAAATGCTCTTCATGTGAGGAACTTCTAAAAGGCATTCCATTTTTAAGAGGAAATACAGTAGAACTCCGCCAATGGACTGTACGATATAGAGCTCCAAAAGAAGAAGCACAAAACGAAAATACGGAATACATTACTCCACCAACTGCAATTTCTAATTTCGACAATGTAGATGTATCTATTTCAAATAAGGAGGAGAAAACTACTAATGAATTCCAAATATCAGATATCTTTTCTAATACTTCTAGCTTTAATTGGTTCTCTAACCAAAATTCAGAAGACAACGATACATATTTTGAACTATTTTAATTTAATTTTGTTTTAATTGTTATTTTTCTTGTAAATATTATTTTTTTATTGAAGCATTTTTCTTACAATCACGTGTCATCATTTAATGGATTACTCATCTCGCTTGATTTCAAAAAAGGAGCCTCAACCTTCGATTTTTTAATTTACAAAATTGCAAAATTTACGTCTAAATAAGATTCAAAAATGAATTTTGTATCATTCGATAGTTCATTTGAAGTGTATTTTAATACATCAATAAAATCGATAACAAATGCATGGCAATGATAGTAGTAGGATATGACGGGTTTTGTGACTTTTTTTGTAAACGTAAGAATTCATACAATATCGAGCGATTTTGTATCATTTTTTTTAACATATGAAGTAAAAAATGTATGATTCTTACGGTTTTTATTCTTACGTTTTTGAATAAATCAAGATTTAAAAAATTTTCAAAATTGTAAGACATTTACACTCAGCCCAAACATAATGAAATAAAAAATAATTTTTTAAAAAAATAAATCATTAAAAAATTAACATTAATTTTAAAATAAATTCTTTTATAAAAGAAGCTATATATAGATGATGTCAGATATTCCGCGATTAATTAAACATTGTTTAAATCCTGAATGGAATCAATGGAGTCATAATCAAAGACCTCATAAACGGGTAAAAATTCATGTCTTACATTTTTTGAATAATTTATTTTTTGTTTTGTATGAAATGAGCGTCAAAACTAACGACGTGAAAAATTTAGGATTCACAAACGAGGAAATAAAGGATATATTAGAGGAGGCGGGTTATGAAGTTGATAAATATTATTTAAGAAATTGTAAAAAATTTGCCGAGTTTTTAAATGATTTTGATTATGATGGAAAAATGAATAAAGATGATGTTATAAATTTCTTATATCCCACATCTGAAGAAAAAGAAAAACCTAAAGAACCTGATGTTTTCCCTGAATATTATGAAGAACGAATTAAAGATGATGAATATGATGAAATTGAAAGACTGGAAAAAATAAGAGATGAAATAGATGAAAAAATTAAGGAATTAAGAGAAGTTGAAAAATATAATGAAAATGAAGTAGAGGGTTTAATGAATATCCCAGCTTCAGAATCAGAAGTCCAGAAATCTCATGAAGAAAGATATAAAAATTATGTCTCAGAATCAACACAAAATTTATTAGATGGTGAAATAGACGAAACACTTTCGGAAGAAGGTATTAAATTTATTCGTAAACATAAGTTACAATTTATTGATAAAGAAAAATACCCCTGTATCCTACTTTCACCACCTTTAGATTCTGAGAAATTCAAAAAAGCTCTTAAAAACGTGACGTATGCAACTAATACGATTAAGAAAGAAGATCATGATATTTACACAAATTATTATTTAAATAAATGCACAGGTGTTGATAAAGTTTTTGATTTATTAGATAAAATATCAAAAGAAACCATTGGAACATATAAAATTTTATGTGATTGTGGTTTCATTGTTGAAGATACTAGTAATGTTTCATATGAAAGAACAGCACCGAAGGAAGATGAAGTGGAAAGGTCTATACCATTCGTTATTAAGAACATAAAAGATATGAAAACTTATAAACATTATATTTATTCATTTATTTCAGAAAAAATGGAAGCAACCCATAAAACATCATCTCATCATTTTATAGCTATTCATACATTCCTTTTCAAAGTTGTGAAATTAAATAAGACAGGAATTAGATTTAATGTATCAGGGTACGCATTCTTGAGTAAATTAAAATGTATTCGTCACGTCGCGGATGATAAAAATTTATGTGTTCTTAATTCATTTTATGGGCTTTAAAAAATAAAGTTTATTTTTATTTATTTTTTAATTTTTTATTCTTACATAAATGAACAAAAACGGAACAGCTAAAATGAATGATAATCAAATTAGAGCAGAAGGTAGAAGGTTATTTAAACGCTTCTATAACATTCCTGATGGTGTTAATCCTAAAACTCGTAGAAGCTATTTAAATGAAGCAATAGATGCATATGAAGGGTTTGACATTTCATCAGAAAGTGAGAGATTAGCGAGAATGTTAAATGTTAATATTGATTTCTATTATTGTGATCCTCAACCAGAAGACGTGGACATAAATAAGGTAGACTTTCCATTAGTGGAATCAATAATGATAGATCCAGAATTTGAAACAGTAAATATTTTATTAACACAGAGTCCATGTGGAAAACTTCACGCTGACAGAATAACAGACGGTGAAGCACTCACCGGCTATAAAGTTTGTCCATATTGTAAAGAAGAAGTTTATTCTATCCGTGATGATCCAGAAAGGAAAAACCAAAGAAGATTTTTAAAGCATTGTGAGAAATGTAAAGAAAATAATGGAAGATTAATTCAAGACGTTCAGTTGCAAAAGACACAGCAACCATATGCACCACATATTACGAAACAGAAGATATATCAGTGGTTATTAGCTCACAATTTGCAGAAATATTATAAACCGACAAGATATTATATTACTTTTGACTTCGAAACATTAGAGACTAAAGAAGAATTACAACTTTCTGAGTGTGCAACTTTGAACGCTTACTTAAAACCATTCATGGTATCATCAACGGTTAAATTAAACGATAAAACATATACGAGGAATTTTTGCTTAACTTCGAGTGATTCTTTTATTTCTGATTGGATTGAGTTTTTATTTTCAACCTGTTCATTAGTTGCTAAATCGAATATGAGTCAATACGATGAATTATTGAAGTCGCAAACGGCGGGGACTTTGTCTCATACATTAAATGAAAAACAGAAGGAAGCATTTAAAGAACTTCTAGATGAGGAATTCAATAAAGTGAATATCATAGGTTTTAATTCGGGAAAGTTTGATTTAAATTTAATTCTTCGTGATTTAAACACTGCAAAATGGAAAATAAAATCAATGCTGGGTTCATCTTCACAATTTAAGCAAATCATTGTAAAGAAAGTAAACTGTCCATATGAATTAAGATTTATTGACATCAGAAATTATATAGCGGGTGGGACATTAGACCAATTCACTCAAGATTTCGGAAACAATAAATCACGTGTTAAATCCTTTTTCCCTTATCAATTCATCACGTGGGAAAATTACGAAGAAGAATTATATAAAGTGGAACCATTCACGAAAGATTCATTTTATTCAGCATTAACTCAAGAAACTATATCAGATAGTGATTATCAAATATATCTCAATGATGCTAAAAACTTTAAGAATAGATTAGAATATTTTATTCATTATTGCAATAAAGATGTTGAAATTATGATTGACCCAATTGATAAAATTATTGAAGAAACATTTGTTTATAAAATTGACACGCTTCATAACCTTTCTTTATCATCGAATGCTTCAATGATTCGTTACGCTTTAGCATATAAAGACTTTAATCCTAATGAAAAATATCCTGAGGAAGAGATAGAATCAAGTTTTGAATTAACGAAAAAGTATTGGAAATATAAAATTGAATCATATAAGAAACAAGATGAAAAAGCAGAAAGAGATACTAAAAATAATGTTTCAATGGATGATTTTCAATACTATCACGATTTAATCCTTTCATCTAAATGCAAAATGTGTGGTAAAGCGTTTACATATGCAAATAAACCAACATTGGATAGAATAGATAATGAAAAACCACATACTAAAGAAAATTGTCAGTTAATGTGTTGTTATTGCAATGTCGTGAAATCAAATAAAGATGAAGATGTTCAACGTTTAAGAATCAATTTAAGAAATTATGCATTAAAAAATAATTTACCAATGACTTTAGATTCAGTTGAAGCTTATCACATTCTCCGTAATGGAATTACTGGTGGTTTATCAAATGTTCAACATCGTGTTAATCTTAAAGGAATCACGCACATTAATAAACTTTCATATAATCCAGAAACTAAAACTGTATCAAATGAGGACACCACCAACATTATGACTCATTTCGTTGGTGTTGACTTTAATTCATTATATCCTTCATCATTTTCATCTAATCCTCATGATTTCATTCAATATACTGACCATAAAATGTATATGCCGGGAAGATTGAATGGTGTTATCATTTGTGATACAGCAACAAAGAAAGCAAAAGCACTGGGAATAATTAAGAAGAAAAATACTTTATTCGTGGCTGAAGTAAAGGGTCACATTGATGAAAAATACATTAATGATTACATAAACTTTTTACCGATAATAAGAAACTTAGATATTATCACAGATGAAAAAACAATTGGTAGTTTTATGTATAATTACATGAAATCAAACAATCTACCAGTTGACCAGAAACAGAGGAAATTAACTCAGTTAGCATCAACACACAACCAATATCAACCATTTTCTTCTTATTATCTTTGGTATCTAATAGACAGATTTCATTTTATCATCGATGATATTCAATCAATTTTAACATTTACGAAAAACACATGTTTTAATGAATTTGCGAACGAATTTATGAACGAAAGACAAAAGGCTGAATTAGAAGGAAATAAAGGAAAAAGTTTATTTTGCAAGATTTCACTTAATGGATCATATGGTTACGATGCAATGAATACACAAAATTACACAAAGACTAAAATAATGAATGCACAGAAGGCACGCGTTGCATGTATGTCAAATAAGTTTAAAAACATAAGAGAAATAGGTGAGGATACATATCAAGTGATGCTCAAAGATAGATTTTATAGATGTGAAACATGTTTACAAGAGGCATTCTTCACTTTAGATAATGCTAAATACTGGTATTTAGTTTTCATTTATGATTTTATGTATAAATGCATGGATGTTAATCGTTTTCATTTCATTGAAGGTGATACTGATTCATCTTATTGGGCAATCGCTGGCGACCCAAGTCTTCCTAACACTCAAGCATTTCAAGCAATTGTTACCGATAAACAATTTTATGATAAAAACATTTTCAAATTCGCACCATTTGATTTCTTCAGTTTTGATGAGAAATTTAAACCTAAATTAAAGAATAAAGCTGAAGAAAAAGCACATGAGAAGAAGTTATTGGGTTTAGCAATTGAGAAACAAGGCGATAACATGGTTGCTTTATGCCCTAAGTGTTATACATCATTCAACGGTTCAATTGATGGACGTGATTTTAAAAAGATTGCACAAAAAATGAAAGGTGTTAGTTTACGACAAAATAAACAATTAACACCTAAAAATTATTTGGATATAATAAATGATAAAGTGATATTTGATGGTCAGAATATTAATTTACAACTTAAAAACGGGTCAATGACTCGCTTAACAATCGGTAAGACTGCATTAACAGGAGCACACACCAAGGCTGTATGTTGTGAAAATGGATGTTGTATGCCATTTATTTAATACAATTTAAAATTTTATTTTTAATAAAATGCCACAGAAGAGACAAAAGGAACTGTTGAATGATGTGATTCAATATGTAAATAATGGTTTTGATACTATGCACCCTTAAAACACTTATTTTATTTTTATATAAATGAATACCATAGAGTTAAAAAAATTAATTGATGATTTAGTATTTAATCAAAATTTTCTTACTTATTATGATTTAAAAGCATATCTTCAAAAATATGATAACTATATAACGGGAGATGATATGGATTATTATTATCCGTATTATGAAAATGAATTTTTGAAATATCATGATAAAATAATTTCTAAAATTAAAGACAAAATTAAAAATAATGAATATGTAAAGGGAAAAACTAAATCACAACTTAAACAATTGAAAGATTTCAAAAATAAAGTATTAACAGAAGAAGATATTGATGAATTATATAAATTATATAATCCTGAGCCGCAAAAATCAAGGGAACAAAAACAAAAGGCGCAAAACACCCAGGTCCTTCAGATCATAAATGAAGCACAAGCTTTAATTTATGATTCATTAGTTAAACCATGTTCAACCCAAGTTTTAAATGAAGATCAACTTTTGGAATTCATCCTTCAACATAAACTCGAAGCGGGAAAGTATATCAAACCTTTATATACAGTATATTTAAAACAAATGAACAGAATACATCCGGAATTAATGAAGGGAGGAATGAAATCCAAAACTTCATCATCCAAAATCAAAGCAGATAAAATTAAATCACTTACAATACCAAAACCTCCTTCAGTTAATCCTTCATCATTCACTTTATTATATCCATTTCAAACATTAAAGAAGCAAAAAGATTTTAAAAAGGATTTCAAGATATTAAATAAACCAATTGACCCGAAAATTCAACCGTTAAAGGAAAAATTTAGTCGCCCCTCATTTGTTCCATATCCATATTCATACGAAATCGATCATCTGGAATATTCAAAAGGAAAAGTTACTTATTTATTTGCCATTAACATTAACACTAGATATTTATATTGCATTCCAGTGAAAGGGAAAACAGAACAGGAAACAAGAAGAGCTATTCAATACTTACTAGATCATGAAAGAGTAGATAATATCAGGGGTGATGGTGATAAAGGATTTCAGGCAGCTATGGCTCATTATTTCCCACAAATTAATTTTTTCTTTTCATCCTCTCCATATACGTTTCATAATAAAATAGTTGATGCGGTAATGAGAACTCTTAGAGATGCGTTAGGGGTTAACGGACAGATATACTGGGATGGAAATCATGACTCCATCATACAACAGTTAGTATATTATTACAATAATACATGGCATAGAACTATAAACATGAAACCAGTGGAAATGAAAAATGATATTTCAAAAGAATGGGAATATATTAGAAAACAAATGGAAAGGTTGAATGATGTTAAACGTGAACAAATTAATTCGGGGCTCATGAATTTTAAACAAGGGGATAAAGTTTTGATTCATCTCGATTATGGAAAAACTAATAAATCAATGACAAAAAGAAGACGAAGATTTGATACAATAGCTGAATTTGTTAGATATATTAACGGCAATGCATTAGTTGCAGTTGACAATAAACTAATAGAAATTCCGATTTATTTTATTACTCCATTATATTTAAATAATATTTAATTTTTTTTATTTCGTAAGAAATGAGTGACAACAAAGCATCCAAGAGTCCTGACGATGAATATAAAAAGAAACTAAACAAAATTAAATCAAAAATATGCTATTACAAAAAGAAGCCGCAATGCGGTGGGGCTGAAAACGATAAAGAGAAGAAAGAAATAATCGAAAAATTAGAAACTTACCGTTCAATCCTTAAACTGAGTGAAGCAAAAATAAAAGAATTTAATAGAATAAATAAATTGATTGGAAGAGATGAATTTAATAAAGATGAATTTTTAAACTCAATCCAAATTTAATTTTTATTCCTCATCTTCTCGGTTTTCGTGGTTTGTTGTTTTTTAATTTGTTCTTGCATCATTTTTATCATTTCCTCCCTTGTTATGATTCGTGGTAAATTTTGAGCTTGTGGGGTATCCATTTATATAAAACTAAAATTTTGTTATCAGTTATTTTATCGTTAATGGTTTCAGGTTATTCAATAATTAATTATTTTTGAAGAACTGAAGGTGTCACCAGGTCACCAGGTTACATTAACTTTTCTGAAAAAATGAGACAACATGACATTTTGACAACATGGGGGATTCATGAGGAAGGCATTTATGAAGCTTTTTTGAAGAACTGAAGGTGTCACCAGGTCACCAGGTTACATTAACTTTTCTGAAAAAATGAGACAACATGACATTTTGACAACATGGGGGATTCATGAGGAAGGCATTTATGAAGCTTTTTTGAAGAACTGAAGGTGTCACCAGGTCACCAGGTTACATTAACTTTTCTGAAAAAATGAGACAACATGACATTTTGACAACATGGGGGATTCATGAGGAAGGCAAAAATAAATTCCAATCATACTTTATAAAGCTTCATTTACAGGTATTTCATCATCATCAGTAAATGAATCCTCATTATCGTTTGGTTCAACCTGTTTATATAATCCTTTCATTTCTTCTTTCAAAACATAATACCACGTCTGTTTACCATCTATTTTTCTTTGTTTCCTATCACATTTATCTTTAATGCTCATTTGGAAATTCTTGTCTTTCATGTCTGATGGTTTGCAGAATAGAGCATTTTTACACATCATACCTGCACACAATTCATCATAATGTGTATTTATCCATACATCTAAAGGATTTGTTGATAATTCTATTAAATCTTGTTTGGCTTCAGTCATCGGAATGATTCGTACATTAAATGATGAAAGGTCGTAATTGATAAAATACGTCAGTAAATTATCATAAAATTCCTTTGTGCATGAATTCATCAAATTCTTGAAGTAATCAAATTGACCCTTGAATTTACCATTAACTCTTAAAACTACATATCTTCTATCTCCAACTTCAATTTTGACAGGGTAAACGTTATTTGTTACGAAAATGAAGTTTGCAACGTTCTGTGCTGTTCTTCTGGGTTGATTCTTTTCATTAATTCTAATCTCATTATCCGTAATAATTGATTTCAAAGCGTTGAAGTTTGCAAGTCTGTCTTCACCAACATTCTTGAGTTCATTAAGTACAAGAAACATTTTATTTTCAACAACTGAGTTGAAATTACCCGTTAGCTCACTTATTTCGGTAATGTTTTTACATGAATAACCGGCGAGAAGTTCAGAAATAATGTCTGTGAATCTGTTTTTACCTGTTCCCTGAAGTCCTTTCAAAATAATTGCTGTTTCATTCTTGATTCCAGGATGTTGAATCATTGATGCAATCCAGCCGAGTAGGTATTTATACACTTCATCGTTATTATCACAAATGGCTTCTTTAATGAAATTCATAAACATCTCAATTTTTGAGTAATCAGGCTTTTCGAGAATGTTGTATTTATAACCTTGAAACGTTGAGAAAACATCAGGGGAATCAGATTTAAAGCAAACACCCTTAACGGTTAATGAGGATAATTGATTTAGTAGTACATCCCATGCTGTTATTGTTTTTACCTTCTTCTTTAAATAATTTAATCATTTTGAGTGACTCTTTCATGTTTGATTGAAGAACGAATGATATTTGATTCATTTTGTCGTGGATATTATAGTCCTTTTGAATGAATATTTGTTTCCACAATCTACAAACGGATTACACGTGATAAATCCTCAATTACTTCAGAACTGTTTTTATACTGATGATTTTCAGCCTTGCGTCTAATATCTGTTATCAAAAACGAGTCATCAAGTTTTATATCAAATGTTATTTTTGGCTTACGTAATAAAGGTAAAACGTATTCATCATAATATTCCTTTTGATATAGTTTTAGAATCTTCACTAAAACAAATGGAGAAGTCATTAAATGTGCATATCTACTACGTGCTTTTTCAAAATTACTTTTTGCATTTTCTGTTAAACTGCAGAAGTTATAAACGTTATCGTATGCTTCATTAATTAAATGATTAGGTAACGAATTAATAGCTTGAAACAGTGTGAATAATGTAACTTCTTTTTCTAAATTCATGTTTCCACCGTCATTATGTACTTCAAAATCACAGATACCATCAACTATGCTCTGGGCAAGTTTATCGTCAATGTTTACATCTTTGTTTTCATTCATTATACTCTTTATTTCTTCATTCTTCTGTTCAACTCTTACCTTAATATTCAAATCATTTAATATATCATTCACTGTTCTAGTTAATGTTGAATCATAACTTCCACGAATGAATGAGTATGTATTGATTGGTTCTGTTGCATTCTTGCGAACTCTTGAATCAGCCATAACTACTAAAGAACGCTTTGATTCATCAATAGAAGTCATGATATCAATATCGTAATCATTGCAGGAATAACATTTAATCATTCTGTTCGAAACTGCATAGAAGAAATTAGTGTTACAATAAATGTGAAGACCTCCTGAAGCGGTTTTAACAATAACATCTTTATCCGAAAGTTTTGATAAAATGTCTTTTCTAACTGTTTCTTTAAGTTCATCATTGTAAGATTTATTGATATCAACATCTATAATCGTTAACTTTGATATTTTATTTACTAATAAAGCCGTACCAGTTTTCCTTCCTCTTCCTCCATCATGTTTGAGGTAGTTATGTAAATCAATCTTGTTTTCACCAATTCTTTCGTTGAGGGTTTTAGTTTCTGCCACAACTAATTCCTCAACTAATGAATCAATAACTTTTTCATCAGAAACGATAAAGTTGCTGCTGTCGTTTGTTGCTGTCATTTATATAAGAATAAAAAAATAAAAATAATTTTAAAACTAACTTTATTTTTTGACTGCATCATATTTTTGTTGTTGTTGTCAAAATGTCATGTTGTCTCATTTTTTCAGAAAAGTTAATGTAACCTGGTGACCTGGTGACCTGGTGACCCCTTCAGTTCTTCAAAAATAATTAATTATTGAATAACCTGAAAACATTAACGATTTAATATATTTTTGTTGTAAATTTTATTAAGTTCATCTTTAGTTAATAATTCGAATGGATTCACTAATGTTCCACCTTGAGTCACAACACTTGCCCCGGCTAATTGTGAAGAACCTGGGATAAGTACTCCATGAAATGATTTCATTGGTATCATTAATTTAGAAATAGTTGGCTTAATTAATTTTGTCATTTATGATAAAATAAAAATTTAAATTATGCCGTTCACTCTTTTGGAGCTCAGGACTTTCAGTCCGTTCTAAAGTTTGTTTCACAAACATTGAGCGTTCATTGAACTCTATACCATGCGAACATAGTCATAAATGGTGGCATATAATCTTTACCCAAGCCTGTTGGATTTGTTGTGAAAGTGTGTGAATGATTTCCTCCTGGTTTAGTTTTTCGAAAAACCTTTTTTGCTGAATTGTTATAAGCTGGAGATAAAACATCATAACCAACTTCATAGTCTGAGTTGTATAATGGGTGGTCTCTTAATGAGTGGCTATGGTCGCCAGAAAAGTTTGTAGTTCCTGTATGAGTGTGCGGTGGAAGGTTTGCTTCTTTAATTTTCTTCGAACCTCCTGCCGTCTTTGAATATCTAGCACAGTATAAGAATTTATTTACAATCTGCTTCCACGTACCAAAACCTAAAACTGTTTCTGGATTTGTTGAGTTCATTGACGTATAAATAGAACCAACAGGATATAATGTTTGAAGTATTTCATTTTTCATGCTTGTAATCACATCATTTACTTCCGTCTTCTTTGCATAATTTTCATTAACATAAGTTTTATCTGCTTTAAGGTCTAAACGTCCTGAAACCCATCCTGTATCAGCTTTAGTTTTAAAAATCTTCGATGTCCATTCATGATACCATTCAACCCTTTCTTTAATTTCATTATCTTTTTCATCAACATAAACCAAATTTGCCTTTTTCATTAATTCACTAACCACTTGTTCCTTATCCACTTTCTTCATTATGTCATTTAGGAAACCTTCTATGAATTCCTCATTTAAATTAAATCTTCCAATCTTCAAAACTTTAGGAAATGCATTTAATGCGTAATATCTCTGTTCTTCTGGTGGAATTGATGTTATATCATCCGTTATTCCTTTAATTTTTGAATTCATAAATAAAATTTCTTTTATATTTGATATCACTGCACCACCCTTGCAAACGAATTCGAAACGGTCATTTTTCAATACTATCTCCAAATCTCCATATTTCAACCTTTGCGTTTGTTCTGCCGTCTTTGAATTATATGCATATATGGCGTATGTAATGGTCTGAAGGACCTGGGTGCTTTGCGCCTTAAGTTGCTGTGGTTGCTGTTGTTTAATCATTTATTATGATTTAAAAATAAATATTTAATCCGTTATCTCATCAGCTATTTTTCTATTTGAAATTGCCATAATATTTCATTCATAAATTCTAAATCATAATCAAATAGGTCAGTTATTCTAAATTTAATATTTGATAAATCTTTTGAATGAAGAATAAATGAATTCCCGGATAATTGAAACGGATATGATAAAGAAAATGTGTTTAAGTTGATGGATAAAATGTTTTGTATTGATGGGTAAGAGTTAGGGTCTAATGTTTGATGTGAAAATCTCATTGGGGTATTAACTTTATCACATTTGATTAAAATGAAATTGGAACCAGTGTCAGAATACAAAACATCCCCAACATCTTTTTCAAAATTTAATATCCCCAACAATGAACGAAGATGAGGAGTACAAAATTTAATTTTCAGCGGAAATTTAATAAGGTTATTTATTTCATCAAGTTCAAAAAGTTTATCAGGTTTTGATTTAAAATTTTCTTCATACCATACGATAAATGATTCATTTAAATAACTTAAAATCATGTTAATATCCCATTTCGCTATCACATTATTTATATACATATCATACGTTTTTTCAAGGTCATCTTTAATAAATGATATATAATCTGAAGGGTCTAAAAGAATGGGATTAAATTTACCACTCACAGAAACGAGAGTAACATTATAAATTCCGCTAACTGTTAAATTTAATTCACAGTTATTATTCGAAATAATATTGATAATTGACATTTTTTATTACGATTAAAAATATGGTAAAGCGTTATTTTCCAGTGATAAATAAAACTAGAATAAGATTACCTCAAGAATTCATAAATTCAACGAATAAGAAATTCATTCATGTTATAAATTTTAGTGTTTTCAGAAAATATGAGTCAGTGTCATATTCATCAACAGGTTATATTTCACTTCATTCAAATTTAGTTCAATCAAACCCATATAATGACCATTTCATAAGATTTTCAGATGGTATTAAAAATGTAATTGATAGATTAAAATATGAACAGATTGACAATATCGAATTTTTGGAATTTTGGTTTAAATATCCCGATGGAAAAAAGATTGAAGTTAAAGATAAAGCTGATACTATAACAAAAACAATTACAATGACCGATCCGGATAGTGGGGAACAAAAAGAAATAAAACAAACGATAGAAACTGGTGAAAGGTCAATTATTATTGATTATGATTCAAAGGATTATTATTCGATAATGTTAATGCTTGAATATTAAATAGCCTTAACAAAGAATTTTTCAAGTGATATTTTATATTCATCAACTATTTTATTATAAATATCATTATATGTTAAATGAAGTTCAGTTGTTGTTCCGTTCTTTGATATCTTAATTGTGCTAATATCCTTTATAGGATTTATTTTTGCAACTGTTCCGCAGCATGAAACCTCATCATCTATGAAAAATTGAATCTTAACGTCTGAATCTTGAACATCACAAAGAATGGCGATAATGTGAATTAATGATTCATAAGGTAAAATAATTAAACCGGATTGATCAATTAAATTTATTATTGAATCATAATTATTAATTATTATATCACGGTAAATTTTCATTAATTCAGAATTAATGTCTATTTTATATGGGTTCTCGATGTTTGATGAAAGAGGCGGGGGGTATGTTGGATAAGTGGGAATTTCAACAGGTTCTTTACCGGGTTCAGATAAAATGATTGGGTCTCCATCTTCTTTATTTTGCTCCTCCTCCTTTTTCGGTAAGTCACGAGTTAATAAATTTGGTTGAGTTGCTGACCTTGTTAATTCAGGGCTAACATTAACTTTAACATTTTGAATAATTCGTGATTTATCATCATTTACGTTATAACCAACCGTAATCTCTGCTTTTGCGTTAGTGTTCTTTTGACTAGTGAAACGTCTTCTCATTTATATTCGAATAAAAAAATATATTTAAACTTTTATTTTGCTGGAACTTTTGAATCTATTATTCCCTGTATTTGTTCATGAAGTTGATTTTTAGCTGTTTCATCGTAATTAATAGACCGAATATATTCATTAATTGCATTCTTATAATCATCTGATTTCTCAAATTTTCTTTTATCTGATTCCTTAACTAAATCATAAGTTAAACCTCGTTGCTGATATAATGGTTTCTTAATTAAATCTTTGAATGCTTGAGATAAAGCACCTGATGCAATTCTTGCTACTATAATTGGTTGGAATTGCTGTTTAAGTTCATCTTTAACATTTGCGAAAACTGGATCGAATAAAGCAACTTTAAAGAATTTCTTAGCTGAAATTTCAGGTCTAATATTTGCATATTGACCATCAAACTGGTTAGAATATCGTGGTAATCCATCCGGTCCCTCTTCAATAGCATTTAATTCTTCATTGAAATAAGAATATGGATTATGACGGTATGAATTAATTGGACCATTTTCACCTTCTCCAATGTATTGTTTAACAGCTTTTCCATTTTCATCAAATTGCATAGGATAACGTTCATTATATGCTTTACGTTTAGGATAATCAGTATAGTTAATTTATAACCATTTATGACTTTAATATTACCTTGACCATCAGTAACGAAAACTTCATTTATACCATCAGGTTTTCCATTTGGACCCGTAATGTCTGCTTCGTGTGCTTCCCAATTTGGACCTTGACGTTTGGCATATGCTTGAGCTTCTGGTAATGTTAAAACGTTTCTCATTTGTTTAACATCTTTTTGAAGACCAGCAACAATATGAACTAATTCTTTCATTCCATCAGGAACTTTCATAGTTCTATTATATGCACCCTTTTTGTTTGTCCTTGTTTTAATGGAACCTGTAGAAGATTTGCTATTTCTGTCATGTTTAATTATAAATAAAAAATAAAAATTAATTATAAAAAGTTAATCAAATTTAACACTTCCTTTATTTAAATCAACTATTATTTTTCCATGTTCACCTAATTGCTGATATTGTGTGTAAAGTTCATTAATGCTCATTGGTAAATTCACTTGATAAAGCATAACGTTCAACTGTTGACGACTAAACCCACTGAAAATGAAAAGGGTTGATAGATTTGATTTAATGTTTGTGCTTAATGCTTTGAAGTATTGAACAGCCATGAAGAATGAACACTGAATGTGTCGACATTGAGTTAATAACTGATTAAAATATGATTTCTCATTTGTTATTAGTTTTGATTTCACTGCATCATCTAGAAAAATGAGTGAATGCAAAAATTCTCTATCAAAATTTGAAATAGAAAGTGTTTCAAATAATTCATCCCGTTGTTTATCAATAATTTTATCCTCTAATCCTTGCTTCTTGATTGTATTATATAATTCTTTATACATTAAAAAGTTTTTTAAATAATCTTCTGCTTCTTCTTGTGATAAATAAATAATTGGAATTTTGATTAAATGCTTTAAAGATTCAAATGTATCATCTGAAGGTGAACCTGAACGGTTGATATAAATTAACACATGTGAATAGGGGGAAGTGTTAGCAATAATGATAATTTGTTTTAATATCGTTAATGTTTTACCTTTATTTGTTTACCAATTGCTGCAGTGATTGAATTTAAGTAACATTCAGAATATGGAATTTTCATTAATTTTTCCTTAGATAGAGCATTTCTATTATCACTCAATGCTTCATTAATCATATCATCTACGTATGTATTATATACTCCTGCTAATTCTTCATAAGGGGTGGATGAATTTAAATCCATTTAATCAAAAATAAATTTATAATTTTAAACATTTCTATTCATCAATATTTCATCATATGAACTTCTATACTGTGGTGGTGTACCTGTTGGATGATATTTCAAACCTTCGTCCGGTGTCCATGTCCAATATGTAGTCCTAGTAAACCAAACCTGAGGAGGATTTGTCACCTTTGAACAGTAAGTGTCATTTTCACCCTGAATGATTGGATAAGCTTTCACTTGTACTGTAACTTGTGAGTTGAAAGTTTCTAATCCATCAAAGAATATACCCGCTCCATCACGTTGAACTGGAATAGTGCATAAGAATGAAGTTTGGTCTTTCCATGTTCTAGCTAATGGCGTGCCATCATCTGCATTCAGTGGTCTAGTTAATGAGTCCTCGTATTCTTCTGTGCATTCATTCACTCCATCTAAATCAGAAGCTTGAAGCATACGTGTAAAGAATATGTCACCACTGTGGTCATCGCTTGATCGGGGAAGTTTCTGGAATCTATAGTGACCTGAAGACCTCGAAGCATTGGATTTTCTAAAACTGTTCTTTGCATTGCATTCTTCGGAAATGCTAACACAACATCTGTAACATTATGAAGAGCGTATGAGAAATCTGAGCTAATACCTTCAGGAGTGATGCAACCTCCATTTAGTGAACGAACGTCAATATGTTGAGCTGGAATCATGAATGGATCTTCCTTACTGAATAAACGTGGTATTGCTTTAACTGATTCTTCAATTAAACCGTATCCTGGTGTAATGCATTTATCCTCTAAAACTTCCATCTTTGTGCATGAAATAATAACGTCATCAACTGTTGCGTCAGCAGATGTAGCGGCTAAGCTTGTAATTAATTTGGCAGGAAGTCCGATTTGTTGGAATTTGCGATCATATTTATAAACATGATTCATAATCTTTCATAATTTTCATCAGTTATCTTTTCATAAACGTAATTTTGTAAATCAGCAACTCTTAACGGGTCAACCTGACAAAATACTAAAGTATCCCTGAAAACATAATATTTAAGAATGATATCACCAAATGATTTAGGATAATCATCGAACGCCTGAAATGCTAACAAATCATTTACCGGAATAATCATATCAAAAGTGACATCAACTTCTTCATTTGCTTTCTTGAAAACTTCTGAAGGGTCAATATATTTACCACATACTGAGTTATCATATTTTTGAACATTATTATATAACGAATGAACAAACTTTTTAACTTTCCTTTCTGATTTTGGTTTATATGTTGCAAATGCGAAAGATTCACGGGCGCAATCCATCTGAAGATAACCGGCATCACCTCTT